CTTGTCTTCAATTTAAAAGGTTTCCTTTTTAACAATTATAAAGACAAGTAATTGATTAATAGGTTGCATTTCAAAAAGTTAAGATTTTAAGGGACGGTTTTGAAAATTTTAATTTAAACCTTTTTCTGTAGTTTTTGTTTGTATTGCATGTACAGTATTTTCACTTTACACTTTGATTTTTTATATTTTTTTTATTTTGTTTTTTATGAAATTTAAATTTTAATTGTCACAAAAGTGGATAATGGATATACCAGTTTTTTGGGATTTGTTCTCTTAATGGTAAGTTTTATTTCAATAGAAGTAAGATTCCTTCTTTTTTATCAGAAATTTAATAAAAACAAACCCCCTGCAGGGAGGCAGAGGGGGTCAAATCTGTCGCTTGGAGGATACGAAGATGAGAAGAAAAAATTGCAACAGGAACGTCAGAGAGAGTATCGAGAGTTGATGGACAAGGTAGCTCTGTCCACTAACTAACCATCAGCACACCTTTAATCTGTGTCATCTTCTTCTAAATACCTCACATCACCTCTCCACTCATTATAAAATATATATCACAACAACTTGAAAAAAATGATTGCTGTATATGTAAAACCAAACTTTCACATGACACCTCTTTAACAAAATTTCTGCTTTTATGGATTTTTTTTGTATAAATGCTTTAAATTGTAATCAAATATTCAAATATTATATTTTGCTTACAAATATCTTCACTTAAACATTAGAGTAAGTTTTGTGTACCACCTTCTAGCATGTGTACTATTACTCCACGAAGAGAGTGGACCAAAACAAACTGCCGTCCCTGCGTAATGATGCCAAGGTCAGGAAACACCCGCTGGTTATTTCTTCAGGGAGCAGGTTAACGAGTTATTAAAGTCTCTTGACGAGATCTCAGGCAGTGAGGTACCAGAATTTATTCTCAGACAATACATTAAGAAAATCAAACAAAAGAAAGATTTGATCGAGGAAAATTATCAACTGCAGCTTCAGGTATCACGTATGCAGCGTGCATGGCCAAGATTTTAACACACTACCACTATAAAGATGCAGGTGCCCCATTTCTACAATTACTACTGAGCATGTTGGTTTTTCTGCTCTCTAATGAAACTGGAATTATACTGATGCATGAAGATACTGAACAGAATTGTTTTTTTTCTTCAGGGCTGTCACCAAAACAAATTGTGTGGAATTAATGGCTTGCATTTTGAAGCGAAAACTTTTGATTGCTTTTTCTCAATCTATGATATTAATGCTCAAAGAAATGTCTTGCAGAATTCTATTGCGTATGATTTTTTCTTTCAGAAATTATACATGATTTTTGCTCTTACATAATATCATTTTTACACAGAATGTACCAGTACTAATAAGTGAAATTTTGAATGGATTGTTATATAATATCATGTACAATTTGACTGAATAATAAATAAATTTTTTACCAAAGTGTTAATTTTGTGCTATCTTCATTCTCTCTCCTACTCAGCACCAGTTTGACATGCATTGATGTTATTGAATTTATATAAGCTATTGTAGCATGTATGTAGATTGTTAGTTAGACTACTGTATACGAATTGGAAACTAAATTTATAATATTATTTTACCCCCGTTATAAACTTATGCTAAGTCTATGAACTATTGGGACAGTTTTCATAAACATTTGTTTCAATCAATCATTGATCTATTATGAAGATTTGAATTATTATTGTTTAAAATGGCATTTTCTATGATGTTAGTATTCCTCATGATGGCATTATCTTTTACATTGATTTTTATAGAAGGAACAAGAGAGAGGTAGAGGAAGGCGGGCCGAGCAGGCCAGAGCTAGATCTCCCGACGATTTCCTCTCCGGCATCGGAAAACACCAGGAGGAGAGAGAGAAACTAAACACTGAGAGAAAGAAAGAATACAACCACATGCTAGCTGAGGTAGGGTTCACTGAGATTAAAATAAATACTTGTTCCATTCAACTTAAAGATTTAATGTATTTTGTGATGGGAGAATAGAGGCTCATTGTATCTGCTTTTCACTGTATGATTCCAGCAAGGCAGAGCTTTGATTGGGGTGGCTAAAACTTTGGCCTCTTCTTATGACAGTCTCTATGGTGATGATTGGGTAAACACATTTGTTCAGAAGTGATGATCGCCAGTCCTTGCATTTATTATCTGCTATGGCTAATTTCTGGCTCTCGTTCTCTTTCTTTGCCATGCTATGTAACAGGCCTATTAGACAACGTGGCTAATCTTCCATCTGACATTTTATCTCTCTATACTGTATACAGGGTTATTTTCGCCCCGTGTTATTTTCGCCCTTTCACACTTGCAAACAATTTTGCCCCGTTTTAAATTCGCCCAGTCATAGATTTGTTTAAGAAATTATACCGTATTATTTGAGTTCGTCCCATTTTAAATTCGCCTAAATAAGGATAGGGCAAAAGGGGTGAAAATAAAACGGGGGTGAAAATTTCACTGTATACAACAGTATGTTTTTAAGTGATTCTGAAAATTAGGTATACAATGCTAGAGCAACAGAATAATGGATTAAACTGAAAGCTGAAATTTGCTTTAAGCATGCCAGTGTAGTTTTTTTTCTTTTACATTCAGAAAAGAAATTAATGTTAATTATGATACTAGAGATTGGGATTAGTTATAACTTCCTTAAAACTGAGAATTCCTTAAATGTGTGTTCATTGTAAGCAAGTTTCACTGTACTTAGCTAAGTATACTGACTCAGAGGTAATGAAACTGGAACTGAAATTGATCGAGCCAGCTTTTATACAGATCATACCTTAAAACTAAAATCAGTGTCATGTATAACAGAAAGTAATTCTTACATTAAATTCATTTGCAGTCATTTCACTCATAACAGAATTCATCATTTCTGAACAAATCTATGAGTTATCAAAACTGCCACCTTTATCAACTTTCCCAAAACACAATATAAATGGCATGGGTGATTCCTTACTGAATTAAAACACAAAATGTTTCCTGTGACTCATTTCACAAAAACTGGCACGGTGTTAATCCTTATAACATTATTTCCTTGCTCTGTGAGAACATCCTCTTGATATTCTTTTGACTGAGATTTTTAATATCTGTATAACTTTCAGCAATATGAGGCCCTGTCAGGTGTTGTTAGGAGTCTAACTACACTGGCCGACAGAGACAAACCATTGAATGATAAGGAGGAGGTAGCATTTAGAGTGGTTGACGTAGCTCTAGAAATTACACTTAAGCAGTAGGGAATGCAACATTGTACAGAATGTCATAGATTTTGTGTTTTAGAGATTGTAGAAGACTGTGTGTTAAATATGTAAGCCTTTATGAAAAGTTTAAAATAAAAACAAAAACATGCTCAATTTATTCCAACACATGATCCATTTATTTAGCATAATGTATCATACAGTGTAACACCTTCCTCTGTTGCAGGAAGCACCAAGGCGAGGCAGGCCCAGAGACCCACCAGTGGAGGTAGGTTTGAGGAATTCATTTGTTTTTGCTCTTCTAAGTGTTAATTGCCATGCTGTTCTCAATCAGCAGTTATTTCCCCATATCCTCCTATGTTAAAATGGGTCTTGCCTTCCAAGGACTTGAAGAATTAATCCATCATATTTCTGTGAACAATCAGTAACAAACTTAATAAGTAATAATTTAAGTTAAGAATTCATGTAGCAAATTTTCTGCACACAAATCTGGGAACTTTTTATAAAACCAAAACAATTAATCCTTCACTAATGATTAGAGTCTTTTAGAAAAAAGGAGTTGAATTACCCAGTACTGCAAGTTTTCTTGTCAAGTAACAGATGACCTGAACAGTATGGATTGATCTCATTTTAAAATTTTACTGAGCAGGTAATTAAAAATGTTTCAATTAAAATCTTATTTCAGCCAGAGGATCTACCTCCAAAGGATTCAGATTCATTTGAGGCAAGTCTTCGTGGGATTAGATCACATGAGTCTGCAGAGGTGAGTTCCATGTATTTTATGGTGCGCACATGAAAGACTGTCTTACCTGGAAAGATGAACAATGCACACAATTTTTATAAATGATGATGTCTTGCTGAGGAGGGTGGAGCTTGATGGACATATAGAGATTACTTTGTTGTTTGGAATCATGGAATCACCTCCACAAATTAAGGCACTGGCAGCTGAAGCATCTTGCATCAGGCTCAATGAGCATGCCTAATGAATACTTTTGATTTGGCACTCTTCACAACCAAACAAGTAAATCAAACCATTTCTATTTCAGATCAGGAAAAAACAGTCCCGGAACGAGGAATACAATGAGTTTCTTAAACAAAAACGAGAACAGGAAAAACACAGATATGACAGACAGAAATATGGGAGAGGTATGTGGAGTATTCTATCTATATACAGCTAGGTTACGGGGAGGCATGATTATTTATAACTGTGTATAGGGTCAAGGAAGGGCTCATATAACTTACTAGAATTGTATACTAATGAATATAATGTGTAACTCATACCACAATTGTAATTGAAAGTTATTTTGTGAATGTCTTGTATTTTGTGTAATTTTGAATCTCGTAAATAAAAAGTTATAGTAGAATTTTAAGCCTTAAAGCCCCAAGTTTTTTTTTCACCTTTGGGTGGATGGGGGTGGCATGTAATGAAAAGATTTATCATTGATATATAGCAAAAAAATTATCCAAAGAATCCTCTCATTAACACACTCTAAATAAACTATATGTTATTGCCCAGATCAGTCCCTCTAACATATTCCATATGCAGTAATTGTTTACTATGAATTACCTCTGATCATATAACTCAAATCAAAACACTTTAATACAGCAATAACACTGTATATATACACAGTTCTGCCATTATTATTTCTTAGTCCATTAAATTTCCTTGGTCAGCTTATGAAATATTAATTAAATAGATGTGTGAGGTGGGATATTGGAGATAAATAGAATGATTGCGCTGGTGAGATTTGTACGTAGAGTATCCATAGTGACTCAGAATCAATACTCATCTTTAAGGTTTATGTTCAGGTACTACAGTATAGGTATATCATTTAGATAGTGTTGGAGATTGTATATTGTGCTATGTTGGAGTAAACATCATTGAGATCATGTTGATGGATGTTGATTCCTTGAATCTTGCAAGTATATTTTTTATGGTTGTTAATTGTATGAGAATGTAGTAAGTTCTTGTTGTTAGTGGATTATAGGAATGCATGTCTTTGTTTGTTGTGACTTTTCATGTTGATTTCCTGAGTATAAGTATTCACCAGTTATGGTCCATTGCTTTTCAAGCGTAATAAATTAATATCAGAATGGAGCAGTTGATGGTAGACTTAAATTCGGTTTCAGTTTGTCTTTATGTAATTAATTTCTTAGTTTTAGACCTTTGACCTAGCTAATAAAGAAGATGTATCTTCTCACTTGTTTAAGGTTATTTGTAAAAGTCAGAGTATTAAGAAGTAAGTTAAAATATGATTCTTGATGTGTCCCAAGATAGAAGGTAAGGGTTAAGGTGGAATGTCTTTTTTTAATGTGTGTTTTTGATGTTTAGACTTTCTATAGTATAGCTTGTGGCAGTTCTCTTCAATTCAACTAGTTGCAAATTGTTGGGTTTTGAATACAATCTTCAGAACAAAGTTATAGGCAAAGTCAAGTGGCATTATCTGTCCAAGTATAAACATGTGGAGGGAGAAAACATCCACAGTTGATATAAAGCATTATCCAAGGTCATTGTCTATGATCAATGGTACCTAGCAACTAATAGGAAAGTAAGCTTTCTTATGACTGGATAGGCTAGCAAAGCCTTCATAGATCTATAGGCAGAGCTACTTAGTGTCAACGGTACTGAATTAACTACAGGATATGTATAGTTAGAATGTAGACTCCTATACTATACTTGGCCAAAAGTGGTCAGAGATCAAAGCCGTGGGAATCAGAGGATAAATAAGGATTTACCACCGTTAAAATTGCTGCTTATAGTTTTATGCATTATGAACCTTGGACTTTAATTTCTTGAGCCATTAAGCTAGTCTACTATGCTCACTCCTCGATGGTACCTGATTCCACCTCTGATGTCTTGGATGTCCGTGTTTGCTCTGCTCCAATTTTGTATTGTTTTATTGACTTTTGATCTTGATACTGTTCGTTATCTTCATATGTTTCATCTAAATGTTTAGTTAAAGGCCACAACCTGATTTTTCTTCTTTTCATTTATTAGATTTTGGACAAATTCTGTTTCATATGGATACAAAGATAGGTCTGCTTATGGCGAAGCGAAACAAATACCCATGGAATTTCCAATTCATTGTTTGAAAACCTAGTCTCCAAAATCCACATAGATTTTGTCAATCAGTAGATGAAGTACATAATAAACATACATATAACACTAAAATGACAAAATTTTCTGTATCTATTATTGCACGGGAGTTGTCATTTGAGCAAATTGATTTGATATTTCATAATCGTTTTGTTCTTTGTCTTTTTCCTACGGGGTACGTATTTTGTATCAAATTTATGACACACATGTAATTTTTTGGAAATTGTAGGTCAAAATTGAACGATAATTATATCGATAAATAAATTAGTTACAGCAAAGTAAGAACCAGCTTTTACATAGAAATGTTACAGCAAGGAAAACAATTAGAGTACCTAACGGAGACCTATCAAAGTTAGTTCTGTGAAAACCTTGCATCATTTACGGTTAAGTTCTGCCCTGCTCCTATTTTGTATTGTTTTACGGCCTTCTGATCTTGAAGACTGTTCGCTGTTTCCATATGTTTCATTTTTGTAATATTATTTACAATGATGCTAAGCTCTTGTCACTGAACAGCGTAATGCTAGATGTGGTGTGATACAGATCCACGACGGCTATTGTTTCTGATTAGACTATTGTAGTAAATGTCTTTAAAGTGTTTTAAGGTCACAATTTTGATTAAGGTCAAGAGCAATATATGCCCAAAGACATTGCTGACTAAATAACGCTTAAGTGATAAATGATGGTCATACAGGTGTTGCAACTATCCTTAATTTTAATTAGACAAATGAAAAAAGTTTTTATATTCTGCGTAAATTCATCAATAAATAAAAATAAATAATTAAGCGTTTGTTCCCATCTACTAGCATCATGGGTGCTGCCATCCATACAATGTTTAATAAAATATCAATGGTCATACTATTGAACAAAGCCCGGAAAATGCCCTTTTTTAAATTACTATGTGAAAAAAATTAAGTACTAAAATGTTTTTTAAATTGTTTTCCCCGGTGTTGTTTTCTATACCTTCAGTGATCCTAACTTAATCTTTGTTCCTTTTTTCATATTTCACTCGAATTCTATAGCAATATTTTTAAATTCCTGTTTCTTATTCTATCCAAACTCAGTCTTGAATCTATATGCTTCAGAATAAAACTCAAGATTGGTAAACCTGTAATATTGCGTATTTTAATGAAAATCTGCACGTGGATCTTTGGAGAACAATTTATTTACTAGGTTCGATCCAAAAGTTCGTGGACTTTTTTCATATTTTCTTTATTTTTAAGTGTAATTGGTTGAAAATTACAAAATAGAATATGGACACGTGTTGAATAATTTTAACAAAAAACATTTTAAATATTAAATATAGTTAAAACTTGTTTGGAAATACGGGGGAGACATTAACGTGTTTATAATCATTTTAATTCTTAAAATGTGAATGAGAATAAATCGCCCTGTGTGGTATATACAACGAGACTTATGTCATTGATACCACAGAGTCCGACACTTCTGTTTCATACTTTGATATTTTACTTGAAAAAGACACTAATGGTAATCTAACAACCAAACTATATGATAAACGTGATTAACTTTTCTATCATCAACTTCCCTTACTTATGCAGCAATATACCTTCATCACATGCATACGGAGTATATATATCTCAGTAGAGCATGCTCTACGTATGAACAATTTCTAAAACGAGGTAAATTATTGACAAGCAAGTTTATGAAACAAGAATATCAAGAGTCTTGTTTAAGTCATCAGTTCGCAAGTTCTATGGTCGATGCAATGACCTTTTCAGCAATTACAGTTTATCAATGAGTCAAATGCTGACTTACTTTTTTCATACCAATTGTTAGTCCATTATTTATACACTGAATTGACGACGGATTTTTTCCGTTATTTCCCGATCGTGACAAGGAGCACACGGCGGGTGTGACCGGTCGGCAGGGGATGCTCACTCCTCCATGACACATGATCCCACCTTTGATGTTTCGGGGGTCCGTGTTTGCTCTACTCTTATTTTGTATTGTTTTATGGACTTTGAGATTGAATACCTTTCGTTATCTCCATATCCTTCTTGTAAGACATCGTCAAATTTTGGTCCAGTCATAAGTTTTGTGAAAAATCTCGGAATAACTCTACCTTAAACTCGTATAATATCGACATAGGCTGGGGAAAAATGCATTTAGTTTCTAGTTTTCCAGTGGCATAAGAAAGTGAAGAAAAATCGAAGTTCTATGGACTTTGATTCAAGGTATGGGCGCTTTTTGGCTATGCTTTAAGTGTGTATACCCCTAGACAAATTATAAGCGTTAATGGACGTTGTCGTCTATCGCACTGTTCTTGACATTGCTACTGAAATTGGAACATCATATGGAAAGATGGCAAGTATTTTGAAATATGAGTGAAAAAATGAAGATAAATTGGTGCGAGATGATACCCAGGCTTTTCTTAAGAAAAGAAAAATTGGGAAAAGGGCAGCATTTTGTATAATTAAGTATTTGAATTTGACACTAGGGTGAGATGCTTCTAAAATGTGACGTGACATATCTAACTTGACGTTACGTCGATGTCTCCCCCGGGTTTCACAACTATTCTTTTCAGAAAGTTCGGTGACCTTTGTATACCCCCCACTTGAAAGTTGGGGGGGGGGGACTGTAATCGGTATGTGACCGGTCGGCAGGGGATGATCTCCACTCCATTGCACCTGATTCCACATCTGATGTTTTGGAGTTCCGTGTTTGCTCTGCTCTTCTATTTTGTATTGTTTTATAAACTTTTGATCTTAATACTGGTCTTCATCTCTGATTGTTTCATCTAAATGTCCAATTGAAGGCCACAACATGTTTTTTCTGCTTTCTGCTGTACCATGCCCAGGAGGTTTTACTTGAGGAGAATGATTTGATATTTGACATTCATTTTCGCTTTTTACCTCCCAGGTCCAGAAACTTCTTTCTACCGACTATGTATTTTGTATTAACTTTATGACGTTCATGATATCATTTGGCAAAATGTATTGCAAAGTAACATTTATCGACCTGAATACAGCATGATTTAATTCTTCCAAAAGTGAATAATAATTAATAAAAATACATAAATCAGTAAAAGCAA